TATTCTCTCCCGTGTTATTCTTGTGTTATTGTGTGTTATTCATGTGTTATTCATGTGTTATTGTGTTATTATAACATCAGGAATATTCTCAGGATACAATAACACATGAATAACACACAATAATACATGAATAACACGGGAGGAATATTCCCCGTGTTACTGTGCCGTTTTTTTTTGCGTCGCACGGGGTATCGTGACGTGATTTCATTGGGTACGCACGTTACTCTACGTACGTAGTACTGATGTAATATTTTTTCTTACTATTGATGCCTTAGAGCGTTTAAAAAAATTATGTTGGATGCAACACTCTAATCTTTAACATCACATCAAAAATATCATAAATACTAATTTTTCTAGACTGAAAAACAGCTTCTAATGAATATACTTTTTATGAGAACGTGACATTAAAATGTTACATAAATAAACATGCAAATTTAAGCATAAAAGATATAAATACACAATGTAAATGGTTTTCAGAAACTAACCATTAACCACCCAACACAGTTAAAGCATTAAAACCGAGCAAAAAGATCTAACCATTTACATAATATACCTGAATGATTGCAAAATGATCACATTTTCTTAGTAAAAGTGTTAAAATAGACTCTTGACCATTTAGATAGTCATTTTAATCCCAGAATTTATTAAAATAACATATTAACCCCAGACTCTTAAATAGGGGCAAAACTAATTAGTGATTTTCCGTGTTATGACAAATTAACACTTTTATATAATCATTGGATTAAAATGACCCCCAGTGAAAAGCCAAGAGACTAATTCAACACTTCTTTCTTTCTGATTAAAAGCGAGCTCTTCTATGAAGCTACTCGCTCGAATTAGCCAAGCCAACCATCTTTAGCATGTTCCGGTCTTCTTTGAATCTCTCTAGAATTGTACCTTTGGAAAGCTCAATCTTGTCATGGTCGATTCCCTTTGTCATTATAGCCCAGCATTCGATCACGTCTGGTTGAATTTGGTTTGTTTTCGACAAGCATGGACTGTTGAAAGTCGTGCATGCAAATGAGTGCCCTCGATCAAAGTTTGCCGAAAGGAAGAGGCCGAAGTGATTCGCTCGCCCGCCGAAACCAATGCCATTAGGGATGCTATCCGAGCTGAAATTTGCAGCACACTGAGAAAATAAAGAATTAGATTTGGAGGTTTACATGCCACACAATTCGTGCATATATTATATATCTAACATCTAAACTTTGGTTTTTATATTTATGATGACTAAATGATTCATATCACGTTAAAAATAACATTGCGACTAATACATAGGGAATTGCGTGGTATTTATGTAAATATTCAATCCTTTTTCTTTCTTTCTCCTCGGATTAACGGAATAGTCGTATTAACTTCTAGTGATATGGTAAGAGAGTAGCATTCCAAATGATTTTGTATTCAGTTATACTGGAATGCCATGAAGCAATTTGCTCTGAAATGAAGGATAGAAAAAGATGCTTCGTTTAAGTTTAGGAACATGCCATTTTTCCCAATTTGAAAATTGGGGCATATATGTAAATACCACCTAATACCTATGTATTTACACCATCTAACACCTAACCTTATATCACTATTTTAATACACCTTTTCCATGCATAGTTAAGGTGGCATATGCGTAAAAGATGAAGTTTAGGTGTTAGAAATGTAAATACATAGGAATAATGAAGTTTAGGTGTTAGAAATGTACATACATAGGAATTGAATGGTATGTATGTAAATCTTCCCTGAAACGTCTGGAGTTTTGGTAGATTTCATCTTCAATTGCAGTTATAATTGCAACTAAGCAGTATTTTTAAACAAAACAAGTTATTTTTAAATACACTCGAAACAATTTTTACGTGCTTTTATTGTTTTCAAACTCAAGCACCCACACCAGACCTCAAGCATCACCGACCAACCGGTCATCGCACAGATGGACCGGACCATGGTCCCTTACTACGCGTCAGCATTATGTCTGGCTAGAATTATTTGCTTCTTACTTCTTATATAACAAGATGTCTGCCAACTAAAATACAATATTAACAAAACCAATACTTGCATATATAGGCTATTTGTTTAATAGAATTGATGCGTGCCAGAAAATTCGCGGCGATAGAGTAACGGATTATCGTCTTAGCGTTGTACGAAAATTCGACACACACACACAGATGAAAGAGAAACAAACGGTGATGACTCCAGAAATTTTTACGTGGAAAGCCCGTAAAGGGAAAAATCACAGGTCTGGCCTAGTTGAGAAAATCCACTATTGATTGATGATAACAGAAATCTCTTATCCCTCAGACGGGAAAAAAATAACTATATTTTTCAGATTACAACATTGACTGACAGCGTCCGGTTGGTGGTAATCGATGACGGTTGGCGGGGGTCGACGACGGTTGGCGGTGGTCTTCGGAGGTCGGCGATGGTCGACTGCGATCAAAAGTGGTCGAGACGACGATCAATGGTGATACTGAACTGCAGCTTCTCCTCAATGTTTCACACTCTCTCCAGACTTCCGCCCCCTCTCATAAGAGGGATGGGCTCTATTTATAGTGTTCTAGGTGCAGTTAATGCAGAAATATGAATAATTTTAATCGTACGATCCAGAGAGCTTCCCTCAATCACACGGCGTTTAATGAGTATTTGAGTGTCTTAATGATGTCAAAATTGAGTAACCTTGGGCTCGTTGGATTCGACTTGTCGAGCCGCTCAATTCGAGTATAAACTTGTCATATTCGACAACCATTTGACCTTCCAAATGTGTCCGAAAATCATCTAAGTGTGGTTTAATGACTTGATCTGGGCTTAATTTGACTTGGATTGTACTAGTTTTTATATTATTGGGTCTGTCTCATCAAGTCGGTCAGTTTTACTATAAATTTGCAGAAATCGAAGCTATGGATAATTTTTTATCAAGATTTGAATGTTTCCTGCTTAAAATATCATCTCGAGATTCATGTCATGACTCGAAATTCGTGTCGAATGATGAAAATTTGTTGGTGGCATATTAGTTGCCCTCCTATTTTTGAGCGAGACCATTTTTATCGTTCAAAAATATCAATATCTTAAGTATTTATGTATACGTATGTAAGAATAATTTTTATCCTTACATAAATAGAAAGTTGAACCCAGCTTAGTTGGTTAGTATCTTTTGCTTCATGTGGGAGAGAGGGAGTTCGAATCCCGCCTAAAACAAAATAAATAATATTTTTATAAAGGAATTTGAAGAGGAATTCAAATTCCAAAAAGAAGATTAATAGAATTTGACCCTTTTTTTTAAATGAAAAGTTTTTATTTATTGTTATTTATTAGCATTTAATGTGTGCACATTTTTTTAGATTTTCATATTAATGTGCATTTATTTGTCAAGGCTCTTTTTGAGTCTATAAATAGGGGTCTGAAGGAGAGGGTAGAGGTGCGTCGTGGCGACTTGTTGCGGCAGTGCGTTACGGCGGAGCGACGCTGCGGGGCATTACAGCGACGTCACGCGTTGTGGCGGTACGTCGTGGCGACTTGTTGCGGTAGTGCATTACGACGGCGTGACGCGGCGGGGCATTGCAGCGGCGTCACGGGGTGTGG